TTAAACAGATTTTTTAAAAAATATGCTTTTTGTGGGTTCTTGTTTTACCTATTAATGCCTAAATCGCGATATATAATTACTATTATACTGATTATATAATAAATATTATATTGAATTGATGAAATTTTTTTTATGATATCGAGCTTTTACTTGATAAAAACTTTTTTTCCCTTTCTTTTTTTAAGTATATGGGTGATTTACACGAAACATGAAATTCACTGTCCCTTGCTCCAAAATCTAATACTATAAAACTAAAAAAACTTTTTTTTAAAAAAAATTCATAAATGGCATTGCTGTTAGTATTTTAAAATGATTTTGCACAAGCATTGACTGTTTTGTATGCTTAAAAAATTTAATTGAATATCAAAATGTCATTTTCCTGGTATGTCCCAAACAATATTTCCAATAATAACTAGTTTCAAAACTTCCCATACATTTCTCAAAATCTAATTTTTTTTATCTTATCCTATGTAAGCATTTCTAGAATATACGCAGAGGGTATTGTTTACTAAAACTTCGTTTAAAATAATTTTTTCTGTCAATAATTTGTTTGTCCCATGAAAATCTGTCATTTTCCTGGCTACTTTTATTTAGTGATTTATAACCAAAATAGATAGCGCCAGGAATCAATATCTTATGTTAATAGATTGATTAGATACCCTCCTATCTGAACATGTCTTGTTGCATGAATAAAGAACCAATTTTCTGGCTCAAAATCTATTTCAAAAAATTTTTCAAGGTGAGTAGGTTTTTATGCTGTCATTTTCCTGGCTTCTTGAAATCATTAATAACAAAAACTACATAGATTTATCTGAGTTATTTTAAGAAATACTGTTGTTTTCTGCAGAATATAAACGTCTTCGGCCAAAATATTAAATTAAAGTAAAGTTATATGCTATAAAATGGCGAATTTGTCATTATCCTGGCTGTCATTTTCCTGGCTTATGAATGCCAGGACATTGAAGTGTTACCAGAAATTCTTTTTAACTGCTAATACTGTAAAGAGGGAAAGCAAATATTAACCTAATACCAAGTTTATGTATGATTGTAATATGCTTGGATGTAATCAAAGTTATTTATTTATTTAATGATTGATTATTATACACAATTTTATTCTGTACATATCAGCAACAAAAATTTTTTTGTTTCTGTCCACAGTGGATAAAAAGAATTAATTTAAGCAATTTATGGTCCATCTAACATAAAGGCTTAAGTTGAATTACTTACTACTAACTTAAAATGACTGTTTTTTTAAACTTCTAAGGTAATATGTCATTTTCCTGGCATTCAAGATTTGGTGAATTTCTATTTTATTTTTTTTCTCGAGCAAATGTCAATAAACTACACTGCTGTATATAAGATATTAATAAGTGTAGCTAAAGAAGTATACAAGAAAATTTTTTTGATCATTTTGAAGACATTTTTTGGTCCGAATTGTCATGTTTCGTGAGAATCACCCATATATGGATTGCAACAAATTTTGCAATTCTGTAGGTAAATTTATATATTTTATTATTCTAATCATATTATATTATTCTAATCAATTATATATTATATTATTCTAATCAAGAATCAGTGCCAAACACACTCGAAATGATAAAAAGAAAGATGTACTATTCTTTTGACATACATATTAAAAAAAGAAATTCATTTTCCCGCTTCTCGCTAACAAGCATGTTAGATCAGAACAGCAGTAGATTTAGATTATCTTTTTTTCAAATTATTATCAATTTATTGTTATTTGGCTATTATTAAATTTAAAGTAATCTTAAAATTAAAATTGAATGAGAAAGTAATATAATATTAATTTTTATTTTACTGAGTGAACTAAATGATTTTTCTTCCTATACTTACTTACTTACTTATCCTCTACGTGCCTTTGGGCACTTAAGGCCTCTAGCATATCCCTCCAACGCCTCCTGTCTCTAGCAATAAATCTTGCTTCCTCTCAGCCAGATATTCTACATTCTTTTAATTCGCCCAAAAACATGCGCTGGATGGTAAGTCTGGGCCTTCCTCTTGTTCTTTTACCATCAGGGGCCCATGTAAGCGCAACAGATGTAATTTTTTCTTTGGGCATTCTAAGGATATGTCCGAGCCAGCTCCATCTTCCTTTTTTAATTTCATCTTCTATTGTTTGTATTTTAGCTTTCTTTAATAGATTTTGACAATTTTAAAAATAAATCTTAAACATTTGTTTTGAAAGGTTTCTAATTTTTGTAATTCGATCTTAGTCTGTTTCCAGGTTTCTGCGCCATATAATAGTGCTGCTCTAACAATAGCTCTGTAAACAACTATTTTTGTCTTCATTTCAATATTTGACTCGCTCCAAAATTTATGTAATCCCTTAAAACATGTTCTTGCTTTGATTATTCTCTGTCTAATATCTTCACTACTTCCACCTTTTTTAGTTATGACAAACATAACTTGGAAAAGGAAGAATAAAAATCATATTTTTTTGAAAAACTTATTATAAAAAAACTTTATATATCATGTTGGTTCCCGCTAATGAGCAATTTAAATTAAATTCGCAACTAATTGATTAATAGTAGATTTAGATTATTTATTAAAATTATTTATATGGTTCTACGTATTAATAAATTTAAATGAAATATTAAAATTACATTCGAATAAAAAAGTAATATTAGATTAATTTATATTTTATAGGGTAAACAAAATAATTTTTCTTTCTACCATTCATGAATTAAAATATAAAGATTCGTAGTATATATTTCGTATGAAAAAAAGCAATCGTAAATTACGCCTGGCGAATACCATATAAATGGATTTAATATTTCTTAATCATTTGTACCACTGGTAAAAATAAAATTTTTACTACTTTATCACAATGTACAAAGCGAAACATAACTTGAGAAAAGAAAAAGATAAAAATTAAATTTTTTTGAAAAACATTTTATAAAAACAGACTTTATATACCCGTCGCTATGTTGATTCTCGCTAACGAGCATGTTAAATTAGATTAGTAATTAATTGATTAGTAGTAGATTTAGATTATTTACTTAAACTATTATTTATCGATGGTTCTTTAGGTATTAATAAATTTGAATGAATATTAAAATTACAATCGAATAAGAAAGTAATATTACATTAATTTACATTTCACTGAGTAAATAAAATATTTTTTTTTCTAACATAAATTAAAATATAAATCTGATTCGTTGTATATATTTCGTATGAAGAAAAGCAATCGTAAATTACACGCAGGAATACCACATAAGTGGATTCCAAAATAAATTTCTTAATTTCTTAATCGTTAAGGGTAAAATAATCGGGTAAAAATAAACTTTTTACTATTTTATCACACCGAACAATCAGTGCCAAACAGAACTTGAAACGAACAAAAAGTCATGACAAACATATAAAAAAAAGGAAAAAAAAAGAATCTATCTATATTCCCATTATTTAGGCGGTTCTTGCTAACGAGCATGTTAAATTAGATTAGCAAGTCAATTAATTACTAGTGAATTTAAATTATATTTTAAATTATCTATCTATTGTTATTTAGATATTTTTAAATGGAAAGTAATATTAAAATTACAATCAAATAAGGCAGTAATATTATATTTATATTTTACTGAAGGAATTTAATTTTTTCTATCTAGTATTCATAAATTAAAATATAAATCTGATTCGTAGTATAATTTCGCATAAAGAAGAGCAATTATACATTACGCTTGTCAAATACCAAATAAATAGATTAAAAGATAGATTTCTTAATCTTTAAAGGAAAATAATCGAATAAAAATAAACTTTTTACTATTTTATCACACTGAACAATCAATGCCAAATAGAACTCGAAATGAACAAAAAGTCATGACTAACATATTGAAAAAAAGAAAAAAGAGAATCTATCTATATTACCATTATTTCGGTGGTTCTTGCTAACAAACATGTTAAATTAGATTAGCAAATCAATTAATTACTAGTAAATTTAGATTATATTTTACATCACTTATCTATTGTTATTTAGATATTATTAAATGGAAAGTAATATTAAAATTACAATCAAATAAGACAGTAATATTATATTTATATTTTATTGTAGGAATAAAATTTTTTTTATCTACCAATTGATAAATTAAAATATAAATTTGATTCGTAGTATATATTTCGTATGAAGAAAAGCAATTATAAATTACGCTTGTCAGATACCAGATAAATTGATTAAAAGATACATTTCTTAATCTTTAAAGGAAAATAATCGAATGAAAATAAACTTTTTACTATTTTGCCACACTGAACAATCAGTGCCAAATAGAACTCGAAAAGAACAAAAAGTCATGACTAACATATTAAAAAAAAGAGAAAAAAAGAAAAGAATAGATCTATATTCCCATTATTTCGGCGTTTCTTTCAAAAAGCTTGTTAAATTAGAGTAGTAATAAATTGATTGGTATTAAATTTAGATTTTTTATTTAAATAATAGTATTATATTTATATTTTTCTGAAGTAATTAAATATATTTTTTTCATCTAACCATTTATAAATCAAAATATACGTCTGATTCGTAGTATATATTTCGCATTTAGAATGGCAATCGTAAATTACGCGTGGCGAATATCGCATAAGTGAATTCAGAGATTCTTTTTTTCTAATCTTCCTAGTATCGCGAGTAAAAAAGAAACTAACTTTTTACTAGTTCATCCCAAAGGAACAATCAGTGCCGAACAGAACTCGAACTCCCAAAACGTGTCACATTCTCTTTTCGAACACTCTAAAAAAAAAAAAAAAAAAAANAAAAAAAAAAAAAAAAAAAAAAGAGAATCTATATTCCCGCCATTTTGACGGTTCTAGTTAACAAGTGTGTGTGAATGGATATGGAGATGAGTCTCTTTTTTTTTCATATTGAACTTTTTTATTTATATTTTTTTTCCTTATTCATCGAGACGATGATGAGACAAAGAATTTACTTGAAGAAGCTGCTCTATCTCCACACTTATTCAGCGAAAGACGATGCTGCAACCCTTTTCTCAGATGAATTTTCCAGAATGGATGATTTATCGCCCTATCTGTTGCTATAGCAACGAAGCATCCCTACATTTTCCACGTTGTCTTTGGTTCAGTTGACACTGTGATCTGGTTGAGAATGGACCGGGTATAAACAAGTTATGGGAAAAGTAACTTCATCCTTCTTCAACCAGAAATGCATGTCTCTTATCTTCTCGTAATTTATCTTGGCTTTCTAAGAATTTAATTTATTTACCACGGGGACTCTATAATCTTTGTTTAAGAAAATGCTTTGAATGCGTTAACATTCTTTACTGTTTTTTTCATAAAAGTGCTACAAGTTGACTCAAAACATTTACCCTGAATTTTGTGAAACAATTTATTCAAAAATGCATGCTGATGTTATGAAAAAAATTCAGGAACGTGTTTTTAAATTACATTTTCCTCTGGTGATAATTATATTGCGATAAAAAATTATTTTGAAATTCATAATTTATTTAAAATCTGACGCATTACTGGACTGGAGTTATGCACTGAAATTTTACCTACACAATTCCTTATAACGAAAAATATAATCATGTATGGACTGATATTGGAAAATTTGAGTCAATATATTATTTCTGTTTATGGGGAAGCCAAATGGATTGAAATACGAAGATTAGCAAAAGTTGATCATGCTACTTTTAGCACACATCATGTCTATCCTGATAGTTTAATTCCAAGGTTAACATCCAAGGCTTGTAAAGTAAGTCATTTAAAAACTTTTATTTATGCTTAAAACTCACTTTGTCTTTTCTCTGTTCTAAGTTTTATCTTTTATAAAAATTACATTTTGTATGATTTAAAATTAAATTCCATCTTTTACGTTTTTCTAAAGGAAACATTTTAAAATTATCTTTCTGAGTTAGAATGAATTGCAAATAAGAATATTGAAATAATTTTTATATTTTTTATTCAAATTTTTTTTTTTTTAAAATTCAGTTAAAAATACAATTTTTTGAAGTAAAAAATCTGAAATCGTTCCCGCGAAACCGATTTTGAAACATTTTCACAAAAGGATTCGGAAAGTTATCACGAACTAGATTTGTAAACGTTTGTACGAACCCGATTTATAATTCTTTGCACAAACTTTATTTAAAATCGTTTGCACATATCCAACATTAAAACAATTTGGTATATTTTGAAAATATTCACTTTTGAAATTTTTGGTTAAATTATTAAATACAAGCTTTGAGTTAAAAATTTTTTACTTGCAAAAGCGTTAAGTATGCAAAATTTAAATGCTAATTTTTATGTAATTCTGGGTAAAAATGTCTATTTCGAGTTTGTTTATATATTTTATTGTTCAGTTTTGTTGATTTTCTTATATGAAATTTCTTTTCCAAAGTTCCTATTATTGTTTTCTTGTTGCTGCTAGATGCTAATCACTTATATTTATTTTATTACATTTTAAACAGTTGAATTTTTATGGTGCAATACAAATACCGTAGAAATATTTCAAGTGATCTTGAAAGCTTTAGATACATCAATTTCTGACGAGAAAACTATATAGTGGAAAGATTTGCGGTGGAAAATTAGTGCGGCTTTAAGTCTTAAGTCTTCGAGCGATTCCCTTGTCAGAAGAGAACTCTTCTCTAATTTATCATCTTTATCTTTTGAGCTTTTGTTTGGCTTTTTATTTTTTTTATTAAAACAGTTTTGCTAATTTTGATTCTTGTGACTGATAACAAAAAAATCTATTTCGTGAATGATACGGTAATTTTAGAGTAAATTATTTTTTTAAAAACTTTTATAACTGATATTTTTTAGAACAAAAATAAAACTTTGATTGCATTTCGAAAATTTGGCGCGTGGTGAAACTGTGTGGAAATAAAAAAAAGAATAAATGAATATAAATATCATGCTAGCGATCGTTTTGAGCTTGAAATCTCATGATTGAAATTTCGTCGTGCTCCAAAAGGAATTAATTTTTATGGCAAGCTCTTTTTCTTTTTGAATACAAAACGTAAACAGGTTTTAGCAGTAGTATTGTTTAGAAGATTTTTAAATGGCATGGTCTAAAAAAATTACATTTTGAATCGGAACATCAAAAATTTCATTTGGCAATAACACCGGTTTTCATATTTTTGATCTCGTCTTGTTTAATAGTGATTCCTTAGATTTAGACAATATTTTTTATTTTTTCTCGAAATTTTTCTTCCGCTATTTGTCTACTTTTTGACTTTATTTTTGTCAGAGATTTTAAAAATATAATGTTAAGGGGTGCTTTGATTACAAGACACATGTATAGTCTATAGAAGTGAGATAAAAGTCTCATATACTGCGTTTTGGAAAGAATAAAAGTATAATTAAAAATGTTATAGTTTCAATTATAATGTATTCCGTTTAATATAATTGTAATGTTTAAATTATAATGTCCGCAATCAGTGATGCTTGACATCGGTGTTCCACTGGGAACCATATCTTTACGATCAGTCCACTGCGGGACAAAAATATCTAAGAATTTCATGATAAGGAGGTAGTTTCATTATTACTTTGACTTTGAGTAAATGTTCACTGAGCACTATTTTTTTAAATTTTTATTCCTGATTCATATCCGTTTGATGATTTTTCTGAGAAATAATTTAAAAAGTACTTATATATAAGAAGTTTTTTGTACTGTCTAAGATTCCTGGAGTAACTTAAGAAATCTTTCTGCAAATCTTTTGCATTTCAGAAGATTATTTTATTAACACTGTTTCGAATTTGATTCTTTTATATCATCAGTTATTGAGCTTCGTTGGCTAAGGGAATAGATCGTTCGCCTTCAAGTAAAGAGATCCAGGTTTAAATCCCGGCTGTGGTTGGTTGATACGAATTCTGCTCCTGGTTTGCACCGACCACAGAGTTGACGTAAAATATCATCAGTAGTAGATGGATTTTTGATAAGAATCCCCTTGCCGTTGGGCTAACCGTGGGAGATTTTCGTGGTTTTCATCTCAATGTAACGAACAATGTAGCGAAAGGATCCTCTCCGGAGGCTAGGTTGCCCCAATGCTTGATCCAGAACTTCATTTGTCTTCTGGGTTGGGTTCAAAATTACAAAGCAATGGAGTTGACCATTAATAGTAGTAAATTCAGAATTGAGTAGGCTGTACAACGCCGGTTATAAAATAAAAATAAAATATGATCAATTTTTATATTTAGTGAAAATTGCTTTGTTTAATGCTGTGAATGCGTTGTAATGGTAAATTTACGAACCATTATTTTAATAAATTAATCACCATGCTTATTTTAAATTGAACTCTTTGTAAACATTTTTATACACAATTTCAAGCACTCTTTCATGGTCCTTTTTCATTGATTGTATTTCTGTTCTGATGTCTTTTTATTTTTAAATTCATTGTTGTTTATTGTAAGTGGTAATATAGGCTACCAAACTATTTTTCCAAACTATTAAATGAACTGTTGCTACTGTATAGCCTATAAAAGAGATGGCGAATATGTTTCAATTAGATTGTCAGTTAAACTGTGATACAGTATTTTTTTTTTTGTTCTTTCGCATTATTTCAGAAAAAAAAATCTTTAATTTATTTTCATTGTAACGTAAAATATAAAGCTGGTAAAAATTGTAGTACGCAATAAAATGAGTTAGAAATTTTAAATTTTTTATGGAAATCTTTTACAACGTGTACTTTACAGAGGTAGAGTGGGTACTATACGTGGATAGGGTACTTTTTTGAGTTTACGACTACCAATGCTCAAATTCGTAGCAATGTAATTTTGCACCCAATCCAGAAGACAAAGGAATTCCTGGATCAAGTAGTGTAAGAAATTCGCCTTCATGGAGGACTTTTTGAGGAAATAAACCCGCATTTGCATTACATGAAGAGGAAAATCACGAAAACCGAATACGGTTATCCTGGCAACGAGGGAACTCTAACTCACGATCCGTCTACTACTGAGGATGTTTTAAGTCAGCACTACGGTCGGTGAGAGTCGGGTGCGGAATTCGTAACGATCATCTATCGCTAGATTCGAACCTCGGAACCCTCATTTGAAGGCGAGCGCTCCATTCCCTGAGCCACCGCGGCTAAAGAATGTTATTGAATAAAAGTAATTTAATCGATATAAACTTGTCACGTGCTACCGAAATATCTGTTCCGGGCCATTAGTCGGCCCTCTCTGGTCTGTAGTAATCAATTGACTCTTTACATATATACTGAAACTTATTAACTGTACTTAAATCATTAAACTAAAAATCGTGAACTTTATAGTTTAAATTAAATATTTGAAATACTAAAAATGTTAATTATAAAACTTTCTACATTTTCATTTTTACTAATTCATGTTTTGAGTAGTATCAGAACATTTATTTTAGTTTCCTTCCACTCCATTATCGACAAACCAAACATTGAATTTTTGCTGCTGACTTTATCAGCATAATGAGAGGTAACTGAGTTGTGGTGGCTCTGGGGATAGAGCGTTTGCATTTTAATGAGGTGATCCGGGTTCGAATTCCAACGATGGCTGGTAGATACGAATTCCTCACACTGCTCGCACAGACCACTGTGCTGACGTGAAATATCCTCAGTGGTAGACGGGTCAAAGGTTGGAATCCCCTTGCCGTCAGACTAACATTGGGAGATTATCGTGGTCTTCCTCTCCATGTAACGCAAATGCTGGTTCGTTCCATCAAAAAGTCCTCCACGAAGGCATATGCAAGGCTTAACCCCGTCCCGCCTCCATTAGGAGGCATCCGGGGATACTGTTTACCCGAAGTACATGTACGTGACTGCTCAGCAAGAAGAGTGACGAAAAGGAATTGCTTGGCGACGAAAAAGTGGCAACACATCCCGCCGCTGGGTGGCCTCCTCAATTCAGCGCATCCACCCCGAGGCAAAACCCAGGAATGGGGTGCACGGGTGAGCTCAATCTCAAAATTTTTATGAATTTCTAATAAAATGTTATTGTCCTAAAGGTTTGGTGAAGGTGCTGTAGCCAACAGGCCAGTCTGGGCGTCGGCCGCGTAAAGCAGCAAGTTTATTGAAACAAGTGATTTACAACATACCACGAAGGCATATATCTCCTAATACTTGATCCAGAAGTTTCCTTGTCTTCTGGATTGGGTTCAGAATTACAAGGCTACGGAGTTGAACATCAGTAGTCGTAAACCCAACGACGGCTATAAAATAAAATGTGAGGTAGCTCAATCTAATAGATTTTTTTTGTCTTTACTAGTTTAAGAAAACATAAATATAAACATAGAACTTAACCGTAAACTCAAGTTTTACAATAATTAATCTCTAAAATAAATGCTTTTAAATTTGCAGAAGCAAAATTACATTGTCCAAGTAACATTGAAAAGTAGCTTAAGTAACCTTGATGAACCGTATCGTAAAGAAACTGATGTAAATAAAAGACATCGAGGAGGTTTTTCTAGTTTAGGCTGTGATTTAAAATGTTAAAACATTTCTTTATTTTTGTAGCTCCATTTGTTATAAGTTTTACTGTTTTAAAATAACAATTTTACGATATAAATCCTATAAGATTTCACAGAAAGCAATTATTTTTTATAAGTATTTATTTTATTTAGTATTTTAGTGTTTTTTTTTTATCTTTGGACATTTTTAATCAATACTCTGTTTTCCTGCAGAAAAAAGATCACCTTATGTGAAAAAAATTTGGTTTGTTTTGTCAAAAATTTTATTAATCCGAATTCATTTTAGTGCACTCTTAGAAAAATGCATCCAACCTTTTTTTTTT